CTGACCCCCGCCGCTGTGTGACACCCGCCGCTGTGTGACACCCACCCGGGGGAAAGGAGCCCTCGCGTTGGCTTCTCCTCCCTGCGCCGCTTCTCCCCGGCGCTGTGTTCGGGGCTGTTCGAGGTGCTGGGATGCGGCGCTGGCAGAGGTGACTGGCTCTGGGTGGAAGAATTTGGAAGATTAACCTTTCCAGGTTTTTCAGATTCCCTTTAAAATACTGTGAGTAGACAGAAGATGACAGAAGAGGACCTTGAAGAAGCTGCTCGGTATTAGGAAGGGACAAGAGATCCCCAAACTTTTGGTAATAAACGATGATAAAGCAATTTAGTGTTGGTGCTTCAGTGCTGAGGAAATGGACAGACTTAATGTCTTCCACCATTTTCTGTCCTGCTGTAGATTATTTTTGGCTGCTCTGATACACAACCGCACGACATCCCTCTTTCAGATATTTTAAAACCTTTACTTTTCTGTGATTTTTTCCTGTGACGGAAAAAATCCCATTAATTGATCTCTGTGTGCTGGAAATCCACAGAGAATATACAAATTAATTTTTTGGGTAAGATGATTACAAAATTCCTACTACTGCAAAGTCAGAGAAAACCTGTTTTCTCTGAAAAGATGGCACTGAGAGTCTGGTAGATGCTTTCTCGATAATAGAAGAAGGGGGGCTTTTTCTGATTCCAAAAAGATTATACACACTGAAAGCCTGGCCGTAGATTAGACAGGTTTCTTATTAAACTCCTTTAATGCAACAAGTATCTGGAAGAAATACACAAAGTTCTTTTGTCATTTCTACACATGTGGTACCCATGGTGTGCGAATTTCGAGGTGAATTTCTGTCTGGCACTCGGTAAACAGACACACCGACCTGGAACTGACACCCCGCAGCGGTCACAAATCCGAGTTGTTACCAGCGCCGTGGTCTGGGGCAGTCGCTCTGGTTTCCACTCGGGGAAATTTTCCACCTTCTCTGCCCTGCTGGTACAGCTCAGATAAAAGAGCTGATCCTGGCCTGTGAGGAAGGTGCTGAAGCCGAGAAAAGGCAGGTTGGTCCCAGCAGCAATAATCCCATGACTTTTAACTTGTCACTGCAGCACCTCCATCGAGCTTCGCTCCCCGAGGATGGCATCACAGACAGCGACAGACATTCAGCGTTTAAGATGCCATGCAAGTCTCCTCTCCTTTGTCCCCTGATAAGGAGTCCCTTATTTAGAAACTGCAAGTCGCAAGACAGCTCTTATCTTCTGGATGAACCTGCCAGGAGCCAGCTCTGACTTTAAAAGACTTCCAGAGATTTCTCTATCTATGCAAACATCACCAACCTAAATCAGCTGGTTGAAAAAAAAACTAATTTACTGCAGCTCTGTTGTTTAAATTAGCAGAAGTGTGTATTTAACTGGGTTGTGTGAGAACAAAACCAGAAGCTGCTAGCAAAGAAGGACTCTTGAATTCCTGGGGATTTTACTTAACACAAAGCGTTGAGGCATGCGAGAGCCAATTGAAGGGAGTAAGTGGCTGGTCCGTGATCTTTGCTTTCAGCAGAGCCGGCTGCAGTGGGACTACAGCAGCCGGTGGCTCGTTAATGATTTCATGTGAGCTCTGTGCTTTGGAGCATGGCACTGGGCTCCACAGGGGAACTCGCAGTTTGTTTTCTAAACGTGGGTAAGTCGGCCGCGTTCAACCCAAGCGTGTTTCATGGAGATATGAAGAAGTCTCTGCCCTATTTTTTTCCCCGTCTGGCTACGAGACATCATTTCTAAAGCTTGGAAGTCAGACCATCTGTGCACTTTTTAGTGAGGAAACACTAGGAATCAAATAATCCCATTGATGGAAAACAAATATCAGACAAAGGCTTTTCAGCCTTTAGAGCTTTTGTGTGTTCTGTTGTTTCCCCAATGCGGTCTGTTCTGAAGATGCTGCTGTTGCAGGGACCGCCTGGCCGAGGGCTCTGTGGATTGGGCAGCAGTTTGCAAGACAAGGCAGCGGGCAGGAATAAAGATAGGAAATCTCGCTGGGTTTTTCTTCGGAGCCTCAGGGAATAGGAGTAATGGCTGCACAAATGTCAGGGCGCAGCTGGTTTCAGTGTGAGCCCACGCGAAATGTGAAGAGCAGCTCTCGTCACGGGTCGCTGTTGTTCTTTCCCACGCGAAATGTGAAGAGCAGCTCTCGTCGCGGATCGCTGTTGTTCTTTTCGAGCACAGGGAGGCAATGTGTCTCCATCAAACCGAGCTCTCTCCACCACCGAGACTGCGGGCGCGTGAGCGAGGCAGAATGCATTTCTCCCAAAAGCCGGTTTTCCCCTTACTTCAGCCCCCAGTTCAATCCAGTGTAGAAAACCTTCCACGGACGGGGCTTTGCTAGGCAGCAGAAATCTGACTCGTTCGGGGGTTTGCTGTTTTCTGCCCAGTGCTCTGGAGTGGAGCTGTGCCTGTGTGTGTCCCCGGGGGAATCGCAGCCCCTGTTTGCTTGGGTGAGAGCGGGAGCTGCAGAGCTTGGCGAGAGCACCTTTCCTGGCTTCCTAGAGTGCAGGGGGAAGGCCAGACAGATGTGTGATGTTCCTCCCCCCCTATCAGAACCGTGCTGTGGCCGGCGCTCACCTCCGAGTCCCAGCAGACCTCCAGAGCAGAGGTCAAACAACCCACGCCCCGCTCCTGCTCTGCTCTTTCTCAAGGCTTTTGTGATCTCTTCAGTAGTTTCCCCGATACCAGAATCTTCTGATCGAAACTTAATTTCTGATGTTAAAAAATGTTTTTCCCTGTTACGCAGAAATCCTTGGCTGTCATTGCTCTGTAAGGGGCCAGGCATTGCCAGGGTGGGTTTCTCTCACCCTTAATTTACCTTTGATTGTGTGAAACTAAAGTATTTGCTCTGCTACATAAGAAAGCATCTCTTTGCAGTCAGGGAAACTTCCATGTAGTCTCTCTGGACCAAAAGCAAGCAGGCACTTGGACAGCATCAGTGTCTCAGAGCCAAATAACGAAGCTGAAATGTCTGTCAGCTTTGATGATGACAACCCAAAGGAACTGTTACTAAAGGTCTCTTCTAGTTTGTGCTCGCCTGCGGGGTTCAGCTCAGTTTTCTTGTGACACTGGATCTGAGACAAAGCTGTCCGTCGCAGCTCCCGGATCCTGCAGAGCCCTGCGAGAGGGATGTGTTGTGTCTGCATCCTCAGGCTCTGTCTCAGTAACACAGGGATGTCCAGTGGACTGTGACCACTTCGAATCACCTAAAGGTACTGACTGTACATCTCCAGAACACCAGCTGCCGGGGAAAGGAGTTTTCTAGCCGTAGGGAAGGGAGCAGTTTCTTACTGTTGGAATCGAGGTTCTTCAGACCCTCCGGCCAGCCTGCTCCGGGCAGCGGTGATGTTTCCACCTCCGCACCGCCTGGTGCAGGTTCCTGTTCCTCTTCTGCCAGGCGTAGGCTTTGTTCACCACCACTTTGTCACCCTGTACGTCACCACTCACCACGAAGACCCCTGCATGAGTGCCTCTCATGATGTTGTGGACGCAGGTAGCGTCTATGTCCAGCCACTGCTGGAGCCTGGCGGGGATTTCAGTTCTGAGGAGCGGGCCGTGCTTCAGGACCTCTACCCTGGAGGGGTCCAGGTCGAAGTCTGAGATGGTGGTGGTCACGTTCTTCCTCAGGATTCGGATTTTCACTGCTGCAGGGGTTGGAAAAAGAGCTGTTAGTTCTCTTTACTTTTCACAGCTCTTACCTCCTGCAGCACGCAGCCAACCTGAGGATTTCTCGCTGTTTTTTTAGTGAGGCGACGCATCCATCCAAGCCCATGTAATTGCAGTGAACTTGTAAAAGTTCTCATTTGAACTTAGTTTCCAAACACTGTCCCCGCTCCGCTTTCCATGTGAGAGGCAAAGGCACATCACACCACTGCAGGGGCAGAAACCCAGCAGGAGGCAGGGGCACAAGCACGTGGGTGCATCAAAGTCCTGGTCTCATGCAAATTACTTGACTTCTCTGAGCTGGGATTTCAGGAGGTGACATGACTGCCAGCTGCTCAGGATTTTTAACTTTTTTTTTTCATGAAGGTTGTGTGCCTGAATTCAGAACAGCACCTTGAAAACCCCCTGCCAGCTCCGTTAGCAGGAGCTGCCGGGCTGGGAGAGGGAGAGTCGTGTTGAAGTTGGACATAGCTAACGTGGAGTTTGTATTTAGCAGCCTCAAACCAAAGCCAAGTCAGAGCCCAGAGAAATAAAGCAAGCCTTGACCTTTGGTGCTGCCGGGAGCTGGGCGCTCCTGCTGCCACCCAGGTAAGCCAGGACCTGAAAATCCCCGGGCTCTGCTGTGACAGCTGCAGTTCTCCAGGTCAGCTTGTTGTGGCAAAGCCATTTTCTGTCCGTGCCACTGCTCGGCTGCTGGAGGGAACGGCAGCAACTGAGGAAGAAGGGGGTTACTCACCGAAATCATTGGCGCAGAGGTTGTCCAGGATCTCCCTAGCCGTGCTGGCCTCCTCGAGCTCGCAGTCCTTGCAGCTGGCTCGGGGCACTGCTGCAACAGAAATTTGGTTATAACACCCTAAAGCTTCGCTGGAAAAGGCACAATGCCGGCTGCAACAGAAATTTGGTTATAACACCCTTAAGCTTCGCTGGAAAAGGCGCAATGCCATTGTGAGATCTGCGAGCGGTGGCTTGCTGCTCCGCGCATCGCTTCCTCCCGAGCTGGCCCGTCCCTGGAGACACAGCTCAGGCTGCCCGGGCGAGATGTTCACCTCTCCTTACTGCGGCTGGGCAGAGCTGCTTGTCGTGCTTTGTTCAGGCTTGTGCGTGTTGCTGCACGTTAAAGCAGCAGTGAAAATGCTTAATGAAGATCTCCTAGTCTGGATGAAACAGTAGAGCTGTTGGTATGGCCAGACTCCATCCAGTGATGCTGAAAGGAGGCGTCTGCTCCCCCCTGAACTGCTCTGGAATCCCCCCCACTGCTCATCACTGTCTGGGTGTTCAGTTCAGCCTTTCAGTCTTTAAGATTTTTTGCTTGTGTAACTCATGTCTGCAGAGACATGCCCCATAGTGGTGTTTCCTAATGTTTAAAGGGAAGGCTTGCAAAACATTTCTATTTTGCGTGTTTATTTCAACGCTGGACCCAGCTTGGAAAGCTCAGGGCTGCAGCTCCTTCGCTCGGCTGGAAGCACGTCCTGCTGCCTGGAGCCTGCACACAAGCTGTGCCCAGCGTTGGGCTTTTACAGCGATTCCTTCCCCTTGCCCCAAGCCCCACGTGGTCTGACAGCACCCGGGGAGCTGATGAATACAGCAGAGAGGGGAACAAGCTGCCCTCAGCTTTACACTGATTTTCTAGACACAGTGGAGCTCCCAGAGAGAACAAAACTAGAATTTCCAATTTTTTTTAAAAAAAAGGTTAAAACCAGAAATATTAGGAATATAAACAAGGTGTACACCCATCCCTTTGAGCTTTTGGTGTTAACACGTGGGAAAATATTATGGAAAAAAAAACGAACAACCCTTACTTCTCCTGCTTGAGGAATTTTCATTGGTGGAGACTGCTGCGATGCACAGTTCGTGATCCGCGGGAAACTTGTTGCAGTTGAGGATTTCGGGCCAGGGGTAGCCGTAA